AGAGATGGGGAGTTAGTTTGAGGGACCAGAGGAAGGAGGGGACAGAAAAGGAGACACAAGACAAACACAGAGACAGACAAACAAACAGAAAACACTAGGGAATTAACTATCAATTCAATTCAACACTTACAGCCCACCCTTTAGGGAGGGGTTGCAAACTCAGCACTACAGGGGCCACACAAGGGCTGCCAGTTTGCAACCCCTACTCTTCAGCACCAGGACTCTTGTCTAATCCGGGCTGCCCGAAACAGAAGGGAGTTTACACCATAGGGACTCACGCCCTCATTTGTGGGTAAGGAAAGTAAGGCCCAGAAAGGTTAAGCCACTTGCCTGAGGTTACCCACCAACACCAGGTCCTACAGAAAAATATTTGCAAGTGAGCGTGGAGATAATGGTTCCCTGGCAGTTCAAACCCACCAGCCACTCCATGGAAGGAAGCGTGGGCAATCCACTTCCGTATAGACTCACCACCTCGGAAACCCAGAGGGGGTCCAATGAGGAATAGACTGGATGGCAGTGAGTCTGGTTTGGGTTTGGTTTTTGGTATCAATTCTCCCCCATCTTCTATGGTAATAAAACCAATGGCCTTTGAGTCGACCGCGACTCCTGGTGACCCCATGTGTGTCAGAGTAGAACTGTGCTCCAGAGGGCTTTCATTTATTTCAGTAAATAATAATTTATCTTGTTTTCCATGAAGGTTCACATAGCAGTTTAGACTTTCATTCAACAGTTCTACACAAGTTGTCCATGGTCTTTTCAACAGCTGGTTTCAGTAATAGATCACCAGGCCTTTCTTCCAAGGTACCTCTGTGCATACTAAAACTGCAAACTTCTCAGGTAGCATCCAAGTACATGCACTGTTGGCATCACCCAAGGTCTTGTGTAGGGTAATGCTCTTGTTGGGTACCATGGAGTTGACTGCAACTCACAGCAACCCTGTGTGACAGAACAGAACTGCCCCATTGGGTTTTCTTGGCTGTAATCTTTATAGGAATAGACCACCAGGTCCTCTGTCTCATGGAGCTGCTGGTGTGTTCGAATCACTGACCTTTCACCTAGTTAGCAGCTGAGTACTAGCCAAGGACATGGGTGGCTAAACACTACATTTCCCAGCATCCCTTGCAGCTAAGTTTGATCAAGGGACCAAACTCTGGCCAATGGAGTGCAAGTGGAATGTTGGGCATAGCTTAGGGACATGCCTGAAAAGGAGAGGACTTCCTCTCAACACCCTCCCAATATTCCAGGGACAGATGGCCCAAGACCCAGCAAGGGGACAGACAGTGGGATGGGTCTAGATGCCCAAGCATCTATGAGCTGGCAGGGAAGCCCATGGCAGGCCCTGCTTCTACCTTCCCTCCATGCACACAGACCTGAAGTCAGGGATGCCCGAGGAGGTGCTGATGCCAGCGCCCGTGTGGAAGACAATGTTGGAGGACTCCCAGACCAGCTTTGCCAGTGCCCACACCTTTTGCTCCAGCTCCTCAGGGGGGTCAAAGATCTGTCAGGAGAAAGTGGGATGGAGGGGTCGGAACATGTCCTACAAATGTGGAGACCGGGAGCCACAGACAGGCTGCCCTGTCATGCTCAGAGGGAGGAGAAAGAGTTAGAAAAGGCAGCTTGTCCCAGGGTCTCTCCTGTGCCTACAACAAGCACACCATGGCTCCCACCTCACTTGGAGAAAAGCCCAAGTTCTCCCTGCTCATCTCCTCCCTGCCCTCCCCTCCTCCTCTCTTCCCGTGGCTCACTCCGCTCCAGCCACTTGGGCCTCCTCTCAGTTCCTCCAACTCAGCAGGCAGGCCTAGTCCTGCCTCAGGGCCTTTGCATGCACCGTGCCCTCTGCCTGGAAGGCTCTTCCCCTAGGTCTCCGTGTGGTTCACTCTCTCACCTCCTTCAGGTCTTGGCTCAAATGTCCATCTCCCCAGTGAGGCCTCCCTGGTCAACTAGTTTCAATGCTGCCTCTCCCTCTGACCCCAGGGCTCCTCATCTGCTCCCCAGATTTCTTTTTCTCCGTAGCTCATTTGTTTCTTGTTTGTCTGCTCCAGTAGGATGAAGGGGATTTTGTCCAGCGTGTTCCCCACTGTATCCCCAACATCTCCGAAGCGCTTGGTACACAGGACTAGCTGCCATCAAGTCAACTCAAACTCACAGCGACCCCAAGTGTCTGGAGAACTTTAGCTTTTCAATGGCTGATTTTTTGGAAGTAGACTGCCAGGCCTTTCATCCGAGATGCCTCTGAGTGGATCGAACTTCCACCCTTTCAGTTAGCAGCTGAGTGCATTCACCATCTGCATTACTCAGAGACTCCGGGTACACAGTAGGTGCTCAATGTTTGTGAACAGAAGCAGCAAAGAGTGGGCCTTCAGGAGGGATTGCCACAATGTGAGAGTTTATTAAATGCAAGATTAGAAAGAATGGGCCGGCCTGTATGAGATGGGGACCAGACTGTCCCTCAGCTAACAGAAGGGGTGATGGAAGCCCAGAAGGGAAGGTCCCTCAGTGGGTGGAGGGGGCAAACTGCTACTCCATTTCCTCGTGGAGTGGCTGGAGGGATTTTTTTCCGATACTACTTAGCTCTGTCCTCGTCGCTCCCCAGCTCAAACGTTTCCCCATCACCCTCAGAATAAAGTGCCAACTCCCCAGCCTGCCATCTGAGGCCCGTCTTGGTCGGCTCTGAAGATCCCTTTGGCCTAATCTGTTCTCCAACATGGCTGTTTATTTCCATCTCCTTGTCTCTGCCCCTGCTGTTCCCTCCGCCTGGAACTACGTCCCCTCCTCCCTCACCAGCCTGCGGACCTTCTACGCCCTCAGTCTCTGACCGGGCGACAAGAGCTGGGCGTGCTCGAGTCTTCGGGCGCGAAAGGGTCGTCACTTCCCGCCCCCTCCTCACTGGGAAGTCCCTCCCATTGTCTAACCTCAGAGCCTCCAGATACTCCCACAATGCGCCGCTCCCGGCCGGCCCCTCCCAGCCTGAGGTCCTGGGGGCGGCCTTCGGGGCCCCAGACCGCGCTCACCTCTGGGAGGCCGCACTTGCCCTTGTCCGCGTACGGCGACAGCCCCGCCGCATAATTCACCGACATCCTTGCCTTCAAAATGGGAACAATAAAGTTTCCCTTGTTGAGGGCGCTTCCGCCGGAAATAGGGCGAGACGGGCGGAAGGAGGAGCCGCGTTCTATTTTTAGGCACCAGGCGGGTTCCTCCAAAGCGCAAGCGCCTGCTGCTGACTTCACGAGCGCCATCTTAACTGCTGGCAGAGGGAATTCCAGCGTTCCTTGTCTACCTTTGCAGGGGCAGGGAAGAGGTTCCCCAAGCACATGAGAATTCTCCAGTCATTGCTAGAATGAGGTGCATGAGCACTACCCCTTTCCCTTGTTTTATAAATGAGTAAACGGATGTCTCTCTTCCCCCCAGTGAGGACAGAGCCAGGCGGGCAGGGACCCAATACTCCTGCTTCTAGACGAAGGATATTTCTTCCTCACGTTTCAGAAGTTTTTAAAGTTACAAATGCAGCATTTTTGTTGTTGTTGTTGTTGTTATATGCCGTCGAGTCCGACCCGACTCATAGCGACCCCTCCTTGGGTTTCCGAGGCACTATCACTACGGAAGTAGATTACCCCATCTTCTTTCTGAGGAGTGGCTGGTGGGTTTGAACCGCCAGCCTTCTGGTTAGCAGTCAGTGCCTTAGGCACTACGCTACCAGAGCTCAATGCAGCATAGGGGAGGGAGATTGCTCAAGTGTAATTGAGGCTGGTGGCCTTGAGTAACAAACATGTTGAGCATCTACTGTGTTCTGGGGAGACCCAGGAGAACAAAGACATGATTCCCTACTCTCACTCTCGTGGTTAGTGATAGATGCAATTGTGTGGCCATGAGAAAGTGCCACAGTGTGGTTGAGGGACAGTGAAGAACAAGGACAATGGGGGCACAGAACCATGAGGAAGCTTTTGAAGTAGCAACTGACCCAGCTTGGAGGCATCCTGGGAGGGCTTCCTGGAGGAGGGGCTGTTGCAGCAAAGACCTCAACAGTGTGTAGACGTGAGGTGGGGTGAGTGAGCCGGTTGGGGATGACTTGGGGTTCAGAAGGAGGACTCCTGGCAGAGGAAACAGCAAGCACAAAGGCAAAGGCTGGGAGAAACAGCAAGATCACATGGCTCCATCCAGAAACTGAAATCAGTCCAGTGATAGTGGGAAGAGAGTAGGTGTCTTCCCTCCAGAGCCTGTGGCCCGCACTGCTGCCAGCCTGTCTCCTCCCTCCGCTCATCCCCGGCCCGCTGGGGCGGCCGCCTGCTCAGCTGATCAGGTGTCAGAGCTGAGTGCCTGGAGCTGCTGGTTAGAGCTCACGGGCCCAGCTGGGAGCGGGTAACTGGAGCCAGCAGCCTGCACAGCGGCCTGGTCCTGGGACACTGGAGCTGCAGGAGGTAGGAGAGGAAGATGTGAGGGCCTGGGCTGGAGGCTTTCCTCAGGGCTCAGGGGGCTCCTTGTCCCAGAGCCTTGGGCTATGGGAGAGAGGAGAGGCCAGTGGTGTGTCCAAGCCACGCTGAGAAGCCTCCCAGGCTCTAGAGACACACACACACACACACACACACACACACTCTCTCTCTCTCTCTCTCATTCATGCACACACTGCCCCCTCCAGCCTGTGCCCTGTCTAGGACCCTCTTCTGGTCCCTGCTATCAAATGTCCCACCTGGCCATCAGGCTTTTCTAATACATCATCACTTCTTTCAGGAAGCAACTCCCTAGGTGAGAGGACTCGTCCTCACCAAGCTCACAGTTTCCCTCCTGCTCCAAGCAACCTGGGAAGTCCTCTCCTGGGTGTCCTATTACATTCTGCTTTCAGTGTAATTGAGACATTTACTCTGGGGTTGAAAAGAAGGGGGATACAGTGATTGGTAGAGTAGGCAGTGGATGGCTGGGTAGGAAGGTAGATGGCTGGGTTGAAGAGTGATGGATGGATGGGTGGGTAGATAGTAGAGGAAGGATGGGTGGATGGATAACTAGGTTGGGGTGAGTGGATGAATGGGTCAGTGGGTGGATGGATTAGTGGATAGATGGTAGAAGAAGGATGGCTGGATGAGTGTGAGTGGGTGGGTGGGGGGTTGGGGGGTGGGTTGGATGGGTGGGTGGATGGATGGGTGGGTGGCGGATGTAATAAGGTGTGTGGATATAAGGTGGGTGGCTGGGTGGCTAGGTAGGTAGATGGAGAGATGAGTGGGTGGGTGGTTGGTAGGGGTGGATGGCTAGGAGGGTGGGTGGGTGCAATGGTGTGTGAGTGAGTGCTTGGCTGGATGGGTGGATGGTAGGGAGAGGGATGGGTTGGTGGATGGATGAGTGGGTAGATGATGGGTGAATGGGTGGATAAGTTGGTGGATGGTGACTAGTGGGTAGACGTACCACAATTGGGCAGGAGGATAGATGCCCAGGTGAGCATATGGGGAGGTAAATGGGTGAAAGATGACTTGCAGAACTCGCAGGCAGGTGCACAGGTGAGAGGCCACCCCCTCCCCCTTCCTGGTATGCAAACAAATAAGGCTGCACCTTCACAGGGATCACACACTTATACCCAGAGACTCCAGTCACATAGCTTGTCAGACAGCCCCATGAGATAACCCTGCCTGACCTCTACACACACACGTCTGATACACGTAACAGCCCAAGGTGGATAGACACGTATGCACATGCCTCATGCTCCCGTGCATGTGCTTGCACACACACACACACACACAACGCACACACAGCCATGACCCCAGACCTCCCCCGCCTTGGGTGACCTGCCGCCATGCTCACCACACAGAGGCCAGCCTGGGATAATGGGACTTAACTGCAAGGATGGTCTCTCTGACTATCCAAGAAACATCCCTCTGGGCAGGTAGACTGCAGCCTGGGCCCCAAGGAGCCCCTAACTGCTGAAGAAGACAGACTGGTCCAGACACCCCCAGTCTATGGAGCCAAGACTGGGGCAGTGGCGGGGCTCCGGAGCTGGGGGAGCCCAATTTTAGGAGTTAGGCCTCTACCTGCAGAAGAGAGGCAAGGCTGATGAGAACATGGAGTTTTGGTACTAGGTTGTGAAGGATGAGTAGGAGTTCATCAGGGAAAGACAATATAAAGGCGTTTTAGGCAGAGGTAACAGCAAATAGAAAAGCTTGGAGACTGGAAAAAGCTTCATCTGCTTGAATAACAGGAAATACCAGGAGCTGGAGTTGAGGAAGAGGGTCTCCAGCAGAGGCTGTGGAGGAGGGAGGGACAACCTGCCAAAGCTGAATGGTCGGGACCAGGTGAGGTGTCTTTACTGAGCTCCTACTGTGTGCAACGCTCTATGCTAGAAACCTCATTAAAAACTGACCAGTCAATGGAGAGGGGATGGTTGTTGTTAGGTCTGTCCAACTCATAGTAACACATAGGCTCCGTGTATCAGAGTAGAACTGCCCCACGGGGTTTTCTTGGCTACAGTCTACCGGAGCAGATCACCAGGTCTTTTCTCCCGCTGGGTGAGTTCGAACCACCAACCTTTCAGTTAGTAGCCCAGCACTTAACTGTTTACACCACTAGCCCTCCTTCAAGAGAGGATTATCTCCCTCAGTTTATAGATGAGGGATGTGAAACAGAGAAGGTGCCTGGTCCACTAAAAGACACACAGTAAATAGGAGATGGAGCAGGTCTGGTCCTGCTCTAGGGGCTGGGGCTGCCCAGGAAGGAGGAAGAGGGTCCAAGGAAGGCAGCTGGACCCTTCCACCCACCAGGACTGGATCCCTCACTCCCCCATCTCGCTGGCCTTTCCCAGGTGACCTGGGGAGAGGAAAAACGCTGGTAGCTGGTCATGAAGACTCTCCGGGCGCGGTTCAAGAAGACAGAGGTTAGTGTGGTGCTCCTGAGAAGCCCAGTCTTTTCCCAGGGCCTGGCCAGAGATCTGTTGGAATCTACCAGTTCATCAGACTCATCTTTTGGCAGCTGAAAACTGCTCAGTTCTTCAGTGGTCCCTCCCACCCACAGGTTCAAGTCTCTGCTCTTCAACCTCTGCCCACTTGGCCTCCCTTGACTCTCTGCTGCCCCCTGCTGCCTTTATCTCCCCACTGCTTTCTCTGCAAGCTTTCCAGCTGCCAGTCCTTTGCCCAGGCGGTTTCCTCTGCCAGGAATACCCTTCCCTGCACTGTTTCCTATTAAATTCTCCCCATCCCTCCCAATTGGCCTCCAATCTACTACTTCTAGGAAATCTCTACTGTTCCCAGCTACAGCAGCCACTAGCTTATCTGAGAACCCATGTTCTCGGGGGCTTTAGTGTTTCTTCAGTAAATATTTGTATCAGGCGCTGTTCTAGGCATGCATGCATGTTCTAGAGGAACAGCTGTGAACATGGCAGAGAGTCCCCCCACCCCGCTGTGGAGCTAACAGTCAAATGGGAGACACAGATGCTATAGAAGATGAGGAAACATGCATATTTTTGTGCTGTAGAGACAAAGCAAGGGAAGGAGTCTGGGGAGGGGAGAGGGTTGCCGTTTCAAAGAGGATGGTCAGAGAAGGCATCCTGAGAAGGTGACCTGGGAGCAAAGACCGGAAGGGGAAGAGGGAGGGAGTCCTGTGTGTATGTGCAGGAAGGGTGTTCTCCTGCAAAGGCCCTGGGGTGAGAGCAGCTGGCTTCCCTGCAATTATGTTTTGGACTGTGAACCTCTAGAGAGGGGTGCTTCTCCGTCAGTCACCCCCCTTCCACTTGACCCCCCCCCCCCAGATCCGTGGCAGTGTGGGGACTGGCCCAGGACAAATACTGAGGGACCCTGAGTGGGGACCCCTGCCCAGGTCAGGCCCCAGCCTAGCCCAGCACCCCTTTGTTCCTGGTCTCAGTTAGGCTCCACCTCTCATCCACAACTGGGCAGAACTGGACCCGGCTGGATTCGAAGTCAGGTGGCTCTGGGTTGGCGTCTTTCCTCTGCTTCTGATGGCTGGGTGACCATGGATGTGTCACCAACTTTCCCTGGCTTCTCTCAGTCTTCCCAGTGTCATCTATCATTTTATAGTATTATTTATTTATTTTAATGCTTTTTTAAAAATAATTTATTTTGTTTTACTCCAATCTTTTATTATTTATGAATTTCATACTTTTTATGTCACTTTTTTTATTTTACTTATTTCGTGATTTTAACGTTTTTATTCATTTTTAATTACTTCTAAATTTTATGTAATGCTTATTTTTATTTACAGTTCATTTTATTTATTAATGTTAGTATTTGTTTTATTATTTTTATGTTACTTTATTATTTATTTTATTACTTTATTTCATTTTTTCCAGTCTGTTTCGTTCTTTATTCATTTTAACACTTGTCTCTATTTTATTACTTGTTTCATTATTTTTGTCTTAATTTGAATGCTTGTTTTATTGATTTTACTTTAGGAGCTCTGGTAGCAGAGTACCTAAGGCAGTTAGTTGACTGCTAACTAGAAGGCTGGCGGTTCAAACCCACCAGCCACTCCTTGGAAGGAGGGTTGGGCAATCTACTTCTGTAGTGATGCTGCCTCGGAAACCCAAGGAGGGGTTGCTATGAGTCGGGTCCGACTCAAATTATTAACTATTTCATTTATTTTTGTTTCATTTCTTATTGACTTCATGTTGGTTTTATTTTATTTTTATATTTGTTTTTATTTCATGTTTTATTTATTTTGCCCCTTGTTTTCATTTGATTCATTTTTTATTTACGTTACTATTTATAATTTTATTATTTTACTATTGAATTTTTATTTAATTATTTATTCATCTTAATACTTATTTGTTCCTTGGGTTTCCTGCCTCGGACTCGCTATGAGTCGGGTCTGACTCGACGGCACATAACAACAACAACATGGAAAGCAAATCTTTCAAGAAGATTGCGCAGCTAAAACGCCTCCTTGGGGATGTGGCTGTGTTTTGATACGTTTGCTATCACAGGTTCAGGACACAAAATCAAGGCTGCCAGGGTGGGGTGGGGTTGGGGGTAGCACGTCTCCAACTCTCAAAACCTGCTGTGGGGGTCTGCAGGGGGTCTGGAGGGTAGGGACGGCGGGTGCGCAGGAGGCACTGGTGCTGGCAGGCGGAGATGGGGCAGCAGATGGGAGGCCTGAGAGGGCGAGCTGGTTCCCCACCCCCAAGCCGGCAGCTCGCTGTCTTTCCCTCCACCTGCCCTTCTCCGGTTTCTCCATTTCTCCTTGGGCAGCTGGAGTCAGGTTCTGCTTTTGTTCAGCTGCCCCGAGGGAAGAAAGCAAACACCTGGCCCTGCCTTGTTGTTTCACCAGACCTTTCATTCCACCTTTTCCCAGCGCACACGGTCCGGCCTTGCTGGAACCTGTCCCTCCTGCCCAGGATGCCCTCTCTGCCCTGGTCCCCCTCACATGCTGGCCCTTTCTTCAAGGCTCTGATGCATCATGCTGCTTCCTCTCTGGGCCTGAGTTTTTCCGTCTATGAAATGGGAGTGAACTGGATCTGTGAACCTTCGTGTCTGTGTTCCCACTGGCCTCCTGCCCTTATTTCAGCTTCTAGAAAAACCCCACAAGTGGGAAGACTGGGTCTGAGTGATTCATAGGTTCCTGGGTATGGCAAATGATTTGCACTCTCCTGCCAATCTAAAGGTTGGGGGTTCGAACCCACCCAGCAGCTCCATGGAAGAAAGGCCTGGTGATCTGCTCCTATAAAGATTACCATATCAAACTCACTGTCATTGAGTCAGATCCGACTCACAGTGACCCCTCCTTGGGTTTCCAAGGTGCTATCACCATGGAAGTAGATTGCCCAGTCTTCTTTCCGAGGAGTGACTGGTGGGTTTGAACCACCAGCCTACTGGTTAGCAGTCAAGTGCCTTAGGCACTACACCACCAGCACTCCCACATGAAGATCACAGTCAAGGAAACCCTATGGGGCAGTCCCACTCTGCCACACGGGGTCCACAGCAGTTGGAATCCTCTTGACAGCTGTGGACTTGGTTCTTTTGGTTTTTAGAGTCCAGTACCTGGGCGCTTCCTGCCGAGTCTGTCTCTGTCTTCCAAGTCACTATTTCTTTAATTCATTCAACAAACATTGACTGAGCATCTTCTGTGTCTCAGGTTCTACTCCAGATGCTGGAGTTCAGGGCATTTCCCCAGGACCCCCCGCTGAAGGCCCTGCACTTGGTTTATGCTCAGCTTTTGTCTTGAATTTCTTAATAATGTTGGAACGACAGTCCCCGCCTTTTATCTTGCCCTGAGCCCTGCAGATTCTGTAGCCAGTCCTGCTGGGGACACAGCGGTGACCAGGATGGACAGAAGTCCTTGTCCTTGTGGAGCTGATATTGAAATTTTATTTTAAATTTTAAATATTTTTAAATGTGTGAATTTTTATTTTAAAAAATTTAATATTGAAAAGTAAATTCAAAGTAAGTATGTCAGGGGGTGATAAGAACAAAGAAGACAAAACCAAACTAAACCCATTGCCATGGAGTCAATTCCAACTCACAGCACCCCTAGAGGACAGAGTGGAACAGCTCCAGAGGGTTTCCAAAGCTGACAATCTTTACGGAAGCAAAGCCTAAACCACACCCACTTCCATGGAGTTGGTTCTGACTCACAGCGCCCCTAGAGGACAGAGAAAAACTGCCCCAGAGGGTATCTAGGAATGTAATCTTTACAGAAGCTGACTGCCCCATCTTTCTCCTGTGGAGCAATTGGTAGGTTCGAACTGCTGACCTTTTGGTTGGCAGCCAAATGCTTTAACCACTAAGCCATCAGAGCTCCTTAAAGATGAAACAAACCCCCGTTAAGGGCTCAATGAAGAGGTGCTTTTGAAGCGGAGAGAATAGTAAAGGAATCAGCTGTGTGGGCAGTGGGGGTCCTTGAGTGGTGTAAACAATTAAGCTCTAGGCTACTAAGTGAAAGGTTAGCCAGAGGTATCTCGGAAGAAAGGCCTGGCAATCTACTTCCAAAATCTCAGCCGCTGAAAACCCTATGGAGCTAAGCTGTACAGTGACACATCCGGGGTTGCCGCAATCGGAGTGGATTCAGGGGCAGTTGGTTTTCATGTGGGCAGTGGGGGAAGGGCACTCTGGGCAGAAGGGGATGCAAAGGCAAAGGCTGGGGGGGTGGGAAATGGAGAGGAGGAGACCATGGCAGAAAGGGATGGGCCACGGGGACGTGGGTTGAGATGAGCTCAGGGAGTCGGCAGAGGGGGGTCCTGTAGAGCTGGGGTCAGCCAACCTTCTCTGAAAGGGCTAGACAATAAATATTTCTCACTTTGCAGGCCAAGGCTTTGTTGTGACTACTCAGCTTTGCCCGTTGAAGCAGAAAGCAAAGCCATAGATGACATGTACATGAATGGGCCAGACTGTGTGCCAATAAAACTTTATGGACACTGAACATGAACTTGATGTTATGTTCAAGTGTCTCAGAATATTCTTCTTCTTCTAATATCTTTCTAATCATTTAAAAATGTAAAACACCGTTCTTAGCCCTGGAACTGGAGAAAAATAGGCAGGCGGCTGGGTCTGGCCCGTGCTGGCATTTGCAGAGCCCTGCTGTGGACCCTAAGGCTGGTGTTTCAAACCCACCAGCCACTCCTTGGAAGGAAGGTTGGGCAATCTACTTCTGTAGTGATAGTGCCTCAGAAACCCAAGGAGGAGTCGCTATGAGTCGGGTCCAACTCCACGGCACATAACAACAGCTGTGGATCCTTGTAAGCGGTTTGCATTGTATGAGGCTTTCGGGAGTCTTTGGAGCTGAGGAGAGAGAAGCTCTGGTACTAGGTTTAGGGAGCTGCTTCTGGCTGCTGGTGGAGGAGGGAGAAAGGGGGATGAGCACAGAAGTGGGGAGACTGAGGAGCAGGGTACCACCCTGCCAGAGCGTGGGGTGATGGGGCACACCGGGGTGGTGACCACAGAAGGCATAAGAGGGGTGGACTCCAGCCATTGGTGGGAATGGCTGGTGCATTGTGTGTGGGCAGAGACAGAGGGGACTCACCGGTGATAGTGATACTAGATGTGTCCTGAGCCCCTGGGCATGGGCATGGGTTCTATGCAGTATTTGCTCTGAGCTTCAACAGCCTCCAGGAGGATGGGTCGAGGGGCAGTTGGAAATTCGAGGCCTGAGCCAGGAGATCCATTTCAGTCTCCTCCCTGGACCCCTGCCGAGCGTGAGGAGAGAGGAGTCCTCAGGAGCTCCCCCAATCGCTTGTCACCAAACTCTCCACTTACCTGTCCAGCCCCTTGCCCCCCTATTGCTTAAAAGGGTTCAAAAGGACCCCAGCAGTGCTGGTGCTGTTTGCTGTTCAATCCTCCACAGCCTAAGCCCATGGTTCCCAACGGGGGACTTCTACCCCCAGGGGACATTGGTGATTTTTTTTTTTTAATTTTTATTATGATTTGGGTAAAAGTTTACAGAGCAAATTCATTTTCCACACAGCAGTTCATACACATTTTGTTTCATGACCTTGACTGCAGTTCCCCACAATGGAACAGCTCTCTTCCCACTTCTTCCCTGTAGTTACCTCTTCCCTGCATCCCTCCCTCCCATGACTGATCACTCCAAGGACTGTATCTCCCTGATGTAAATGTTCACCCCATATGCTTGTCTGTTGTTTGGCTGGAAGCCCTGGGAAGTAAGTTCAAGTCCAGACCTGAAAGGTAACTAGAGGCCACAGTCTTGGGGAATCTCAGTGGGCTCTATCACACCAGCAAACCTGGTCTTTTATTCCTGATTTTGAGTTTTGTTCCCCATTGTTCTCCCACTCTCTCCAGAATCTCCTGCACCTATCCCCTTCCTAGTGGTCGACAGTGGTGGCTGGGCACCATCTGGTTCTTTTGGTCTCATGGTCATATAGGCTGAGGATCACATGGTCTACTAGTCCCTTGCACTAATTATTTCCATGTGTCTTTGGTTTTCTTCATTCTTGTTTGCTCTGGACGAGGAGAGACCCGTCGTTGCATCTAGATGGCTGCTCACAAACTTGTAAGATCCCAGACACCAAAGTGGCGTGTAGAACAATGTTTTGTGTAGTGTGTTATGCCAGTTGAGTTTGACCCTGTGACCGTGGTCTCCGTGGGTGATGGTTTTGGCTGTAGTGACCGGAGTGTGCAGTTGGTATCGGGTGGGAGGAGGCCACAGATGCTGCTCAACACCCTACAGTACTTGGAGGCCCACCCAGAGAACGATCCTATTCCCAGCACTGGGAAGGTTGAAAATCCCATTAATTATTTGAAAAAAAAAAAAAAATTCAGTTTGTTCCCTGTTCACACCGTGCGCTAGAATAAACCCCACTGGTCAGACCAGGGGCCCCTCCAGCTCCTGTGACTCCCCTCTTCTTTCCTCCCCACTTTGTGTGTGGATTTAAATGTGGGCAGCACCCTAGGACGTCAGGACATTAGAGGATTATGGGACATGGAGTCTCTTGGGGGCCAGTGGAATCCTCTAACCCAGGGGTCCTCCTCGCCTGGGCGATTCTGCCCCCAGGGAACATTTGGTGATCTCTGGATACGTTTTAGATGTCCCCATTGGAGTAGGGGTGCTACTGGCATCGAGTGGGTGGAGACCAGGGGAGCTTCTCAACACCCTACAGTGCACAGGTTGGCCCCAGAGAAGAATCTGACCTCCGTGTCAGCAGTAAGGGGGGTAAGTTAGGGGAGGGGAGAAAGCCTGCATCAGGATGTCAGTTCTGTTACCAATCCCATTTAGCAGAGGAGGAAGTGAGGACCAGAGAGGTGCAATGACCAGCTCTCAGTCACACCCAAACCAAGAAACCAAACCCACTGCCAGTGAGTTGATTCCAACTCACAGTGCCCCAAGAGGACAGCGTAGACCTTCCCTAGAGGGTTCCAAGGCTGTCAATCTTCAGAAGCCAAGCCCAAACCAAACCCACTGCAGTGGATTCAATTCTGACTCACAGTGCCCCTAGAGGAACTGTTCCACAGGGTTTCCTTAAGTTGTAACTACAGAAGCAGATTGCCACGCCTTTCTCCCACAGAGTGCCTGGTAGGTTTGAACGGTCTTTTAGTTGGCAGCCAAATCCTCTAACTACTGTGTCAGCAGGGCTCCAGAGAGTAAAAACTGGCCACACTGGACTCAGATCCCTGCCCAGCTGTCTGCAGGGATCTTCTGGAAGCCCTTGTCTCTTCAAATGCCCCTTCTCTCTCCTGCCATCCTGACCTCTCCCCTCTGCTGGCTCCTCCTCTTGGTGAATTGCAGCTGCTTCCATGCAGCTGGTTACCCTCCTGGACACCACACATCCCTCCCCACCCTCCATCTTGGGATGCCCCTCTTCTTCCTCCCCTTTAGGTCCCTCCCTCTCAGTCCTGGACCCCCACCCCCACCCCGTCCCTCAGTCCCTGGGTCATCTTAGCAAGCACGTATTTAGCCTCCCAATGGGAGGTACTGCTATGAAACCCATTTCACAGACAGGAAAAGTGAGGTCCAAAGCAAGTAAGTATCTTGGCAAGTCGTACAGGTAGTAAATAAGGGGGGAGGGTGGTGGGCCTGGATTTAAATTGAGGTTTGTCAGACTGTAGAGACCCACTGGGGAATGAATAAGTAGGTGAGTGAGTGAATGAATGAAAGAAAAAATGAGTGTGTGAATGAATGAGTAGATGAGTAAATGAATGGATGATTGGATGAATGGGTGAGTGAATGAGTGAATGAGGGAGTGGCTGGACAGGTGAGTGAATGAGTGGGTGGAGAAGTGAATGAATGAATGAAAGGAAAAAAATGAGAGTGTGAACGAATGAGTAGATGAGTAAATCAAAGAATGAGTGGATGGACAGGTGAGTGAATGAGTGTGTGTGTCAGTGAATGAATGAGTGGCTGGCTGGATGAGTGAATGAATGAATGGATGGTTGGATGGGTGAGTGAATGAATGAGTGGGTGAGTGAATGAGTGAGCAAATGAATGAGTGAGTGAACGAGTGAAAGAATGAGTGAGTGAATGAATGAATGAGCGGGCAAGTGAAGGAATGAATGGTTGGTTGGATGAGTGAGTGGGTGAGTGAATGAATGAGTGGGTGAGTGAATGAATGAGTGAGCGAGTGAAGGAATGAATGAATGAGCGAGTGAGAGTCTGCACGCGCAGGCGGCGATGAGAGGTGCAGTGGGTCGCAGTCCCAGGCCAGGAGACACCTGCCAGGCCAGCCTGCTCAAGGAGGCGGAGATGGACGCAGGCGGGTCCAGTGAAGGTTCGGTCGGCAGCCGCAGCTTGCGGGGGTGAGCGAGCCGGGCCCCATAGCCGCTCCCCCGCGTAGCGAGAGCCCAGTTCCCCTCC